TCATCTATCTGACCAATACTAGACCTGACTTGACATTTGCGGTTAGTGTGGCTAGCCAATTCATGCATGTACCTCATACCGAACATTTTGATGCGATTCATCACATCTTGACATATTTGAAGACTTCTCCTAGCTTGGAATTGTTCTTCACAGCTGATCCTCAATCTGAACTCTCATGTTTTACTAATGCTGACTATGCAGGATCTAGAACGGATAGACGCTTCTGTACTTTCTATCGTGATCATCTTATATCTTGGAAAAGTTAAAAACAAACAGTTGTTTCTAGGTCATCTGCAGAAGCTAAGTATAGGACTATGACACAAGGCACTTGCGAGATTCTATAGCTGCATTCTATTTTGGCTAAGTTAGGATTTGAGGGGATTACTCCTGCTTCTTTGTTTTGTGACAACAAGTCTGCTATTATATTGTCTTCTGATTCTGTCCTATATGAGTGTACAAAGCATATAGGGGTTGATATACATTTCATTCGAAAGAAGGTTCAGATTGATATTATGAGACCATCCTTTGTTTCTTCTTCTCAGCAGTTAACAGATATGTTTGCCAAGTCTGTAGGCCCAACATTACTCCAACCGTTTATCGGCAAGTTGCGTTTATTGAGTATCTTCACACCAACTTGAGGGGGAGTGTTGGAATTAGGAAATAGTGATATTATAATTATGGTAGTATTGGAATTAGGAAATAATGATATTGTAATTATGGTAGTGTGTATAAAAACTGTAATTGTGTCAATCACAGTTTTAATACCTTTTTTTTTTTTTTTTTTTTTTTTTTCCTATTTTGTAATATTATTTCATTATAAATACAAGGTTCTACCTACATAAAGCAAATGCTTAAATTGGTGTCTTGAAATCTTAAGTTAGTGTTTTTACTTAAGAAAAACCTTTTAGTTTTCCAAATGCCAAGTTTTTTTTATTTTTTTATTTTATTTTTAATTTCAATACATATTGTGATATTAATACCTTCATCAATTTTCTTTTTTTGGTTATCTTTTCACTTGCCTGAATTGCACACTAAGTATATATATATACACAAAACCATTCCATGCTCTCTGTATATTAACCCATCGTGAGATAGGGACTGAGAAGGAGAAAATAACGGGGTGCTTCTTGATGACATTCATTGTATTGGATGATCCACCACAACCAAACACCACTTCATACCTCCATGAACCACCATAGTGGAACACCCCTTTCCATCGATCCACCCCCACCATTTGCAAACGATTGCAAATGTTAGAGGGACCTTATCGGTTGACCTTTCCATCAATTGCAGTGATTGAGGAAGGGAAGTAGGGAGAGACAAAAGTTATAAGCAAGGGAAACAGAAATGTGAGAGAGAATAAGTTGGAACAATTTGTCTTGAATTCTTCAATTGGTGGTCTTCGGGTCTTCAAAACTTGGCGATGATCTTGTCTATGTAGAACATAAATTTGGTGCTTCAGATTGCGTTACTTAATCGCTTTCCTAAAGATAATATTTACACCCATAAAAAGGTGTGCAGGAGGTTACAACAAATTCACCTCCAGGATACAATGAAGTTTGATTTAAAGATCAAGTCTACCGGCATCTGCACTGACGACAGTAAATTAGAATACTCTTGATATAATCCAGAAAATCAAGACACTGATAATCAAGTCTTTAGAATTTGATTACCAGTAAGAAAAATAGAAATTTGCTTAAGAAACTTTTGATCGAAAATTGTAAATCAAGAGGGAGGGAGGGAGAGAGAGAGAGAGAGAGAGAGAGAGAGAAAGAGTATTGCACAAATGCATTCTAGATTTTTGGATGGATTGAAATGGCTGATTTTGCAGCCTATTTTAGGCCTTAATGCATCAGATCAAATGGTCATGTCCCTTGATTGTATCCGATCAGATCTAATTATTGGATCGACGATCTATAGTGCAGATCATTCTCACACCGAATAGATGCCTTGACTAATCATACCAGATCACGATCGGGTACCATTTCATCCGTATGATCGTACGCATTTTCAATCAACGGTTATGATCAAATTGCTCCAAATCAAACACATAACCGTTTGATCAGTTAGTTGACTCATCGCCAATGGACACCACATCACTACTATGCGGAACTAATTGTATTCCACATCACCCATACCACATTGGATCCATATCATCGCTCCAACTTGTCCGATGCAAATAGGAAAGTGCCCTCATGGCGCCTTGCACCCGTGCTAAGTGCAAAGTGTGCCGTAGAACACCACACAGCCCACTACCCATCCCATGTGTGCACGCATGTGCATGTGCGCATACGGATGGTGCGAAGCACTATCCTTGTGGTATGAGTGCATGCACACTAGCATCCATTCCACAATTCCGTATTCAAAGAAATATTCCACGTAGCACTTTATTAAGTGCTCCATGTTTTTCTCACTTTCCAATGTGGGACAAACTCCCCAAGCTTATTTCAAACTTTCCAAAGAAAAACAAGGAAGGTTTTGAAAACACCCAAAAACTAAACTATATATTTTGAAAATCATTTTGAAAATTCCATAACAGAATAGAGGGATTGGTTGTTGTTTGGTTACCAAATTATTTGTATATGTTATTTGGTTGTATAGTTGGAGAATGGCATCACTCATCGGCCTTCGCCTTCGCCTCCGCCTCCGCCTCCGCCTCCGCCTCCATCGCCTTTGCAGCGGAGAACGGTGACACGAAAAGGCGTAGAGAGGTTGAAGAATAAACAAGGAAATGTTAATGAAGAAGGAGATGTTACCGGAATCTGACGCGTAGGTGATGAAAGAAGACTTTGGGGCTTTCGTGGAGAGGTTTCAGCTACTCCCACCACCTCAACATGATCATCATCTTCTATATTGTTGGATAAATGTAGAGAGGAGAAGATTGTATATATTATATTTATTGTGTTGTGAGTCTTGAATCAATGTACAATGGCTCATATATAGAGGAGAGATTACAAACAACCTTCCACAAATTATGGCCTAAAGTATGCCTAATCTATGGCCTAATACACTACACTAACATTCCCTCTTAAACTTAAGTAGCGATACCAATTTGAGTTTGGAGAGAGAAACAAAACGGGAAAAGAAAATTGAAAAATAAAATAAAATAAAACACGATAGATCTGAAGCAAATAGATTGTAAAGTCCTGATGGGAGCGCAGGGGCACTAGAGATAGAACTGAGGCCGAATCTAATGCTAGAAGACTGTTTATGGTCGTGTTGGACTGTTGTAGAAAGTGGCCAGAACTAATGCCGGAATAGTTGAAGGGGTCATGTTGGACAGTTGTAGAGACTAACCAGAATCAATGTCAAGACAGTTTAAAGGGTCATACCGGACCGTTGTAAAGACTAACTGGAATAAATGCGGGACAGTTTAAAGAGTCATGCCGAATCAATGTAAAGACTAACCATAATCAATGTCGGGACAGTTTAAGGGTCATGTCGAACCGATGTAAAAACTAACCGAAATCAATGTCGAGACAATTTAAAGGGTCATGTCGGACCGTTGTAAAAGAATTGGATGTTGAACCAGTAAATGTGGCATACACATGACTTATGACTCAGTGCTAAATGATGATGGCAACAGATGACATTGTGCGCCAAAGGACGACTTAGGTGGTTATACGCCAGGGGGCGGTTTGGGTGGTGCGCCAGGGGGTGGCTTGGGAGGTTATGCCAAGAGGGTGGCTTGGGTGGTGCTCTAATGGGGGCGGCTTGGGTGGTGTGCCAATGGATGGCTTGGGTGGTGTGCCAAAGGGTGGCTTAGGTGGTGTGCCAAATGGTGGCTTGTGTGGTTTGCATGGGATATCACCATGCTCACCATGATATAGGTGTAATACCCTCTCTTAAACTCAAATAGGTTTGAAAATTGAAACCTATTTGAGGTTAAAACAGAGGGATTGACAAAGTGGAGTGGAATGACTCAACGCAGAGAGATGGCGTTCTATAAAATAATAATAATATATTGTAAAAAAGGATTTTTTTTTTCTTCAAGTGATGTGGGCTGTGAAAAATAAAAAAGGAAAAAAAAATAGGATAGAAAAGGACAAAAGAAATGGCTGGGTGAAGAAGAAAATGAGGCCCAAAAAACAAAAAGAGGGGTAATGAGAAACGAGCATGTGGGGAATGGGTTAGTTGACTCATCGCCAATGGACACCACATCACTACTATGCGGAACTAATTGTATTCCACATCACCCATACCACATTGGATCCATATCATCGCTCCAACTTGTCCGATGCAAATAGGAAAGTGCCCTCATGGCGCCTTGCACCCGTGCTAAGTGCAAAGTGTGCCGTAGAACACCACACAGCCCACTACCCATGGGATTGAGAGAGTGTAAATCTGAGTGTATATTAGAGAGAGAGAGAGAGAGAGAGAGAGATTGATTTGGTTTTGGAGCTTAAATCAATGGTGTGAATTAGAGAAAGTAGAGGGCAGCTTGGACCGAGGAGAAGCCGACAAGAAGGTTGCGAAGGCCGGAAAGAAGCCAACGGAGAAAGGCTGCAATGATAGGTTATGGTTGGAGCATGAGTGCTCCTCACCAGAGATGCAAAGTGTCGGAAGGGATGATGCCGACAAAGGGATTATTAGAATAGTAGAGAGAGAGAGAGAGAGAGAGAGAGGGAGAGAGAAAAGCATATGAACTATATTATTAAATCAATTCAATATCATAGGAGAAGCCTGTATAAATAGGCCAAGAAACCTAAGTGTACAAAAAACCTAGGTGTACAAGAATCCTAAGCATAGATATGTATACAGCTAACCCCCCCTCAAGCTCAAGGTGGTAAGACAGATATCAACTTGAGCTTGGAGAAGAGATTAAAGAAGCGTCCTAAAGGATAAGTTTTGGTAAAGAGGTCGATTGTCTGATCAACAGAGGTAATAAAGAGAAGACGAATGGTGTCCCTAGTAGCATCCTGTCGTATGAAGTGACAATCTATCTCAATATGCTTGGTACGATTATGGAAGACACCATTATGTGCAATCTGAATAGCACTCTAGTTGTCACAATAAAGATTGGTGGTAGCAGAATGAGAAACTCCCATATCAGAAAGAAGCCAACAAAGCCACATAAGCTCCTGAGTAGTCTCAACAAGAGCACGATACTCAGCCTCGGTACTAGAGCGAGCAACAAGAGTTTGCTTCTTGCTACGCCAGGCAATGAGAGAGTTGCCCAAGAAAAAGCAGAACCCAATAGTGGAACGGCGGTCAGTAGGATTCCTTGCTCAATCTGTATCAAAAAATGCATGGAGATGTAAAGAAGACTGAGCGGAGTAGTGAAGACCATGAAACAGAGTGCCTTTGAGATAGTGCAAAATATGAATCAGAGCATCATAGTGTGGACAGCGGCGGGAAGCCATGAATTGACTAACAATGTGAATAGTATAAGAAATATCTGGATGAGTAACTATGAGATAGACAAAACTGCCAACTAGTTGACGATATAAAATTACATCAGATAATATGGAACTGTCAAGAGGTGTAAGACGAGCCTGAGGATCAACTGGAATAGTGATAGTCTTGTAATTGGTAAGGCCAGTATGAGCCAAGAGATCAGAAGTATACTTGGCCTGGGCAAGAAAGTAACCAGATGAATCTTGAGAAATTTCTAAGCCAAGAAAGTAGTTAAGCAAACCCAAATCTTTCATCTCAAACTGGCGATGGAGAAACTGTTGGAGACTAGAAATACCCGTTATGTCATCTCCAATGATAATCATATCATCCACATAAAGGAGAAGAAGAATAATACCACACTCTGTCTTACGTATAAACAAGGCAGAATCATGGGCACTGGAGGAAAATCTAAAGTCACAAATGATAGAGCTGAACTTGGCAAACCAGGCACGCGGAGCTTGTTTCAAACCATACAAAGTACGACGAAGTTTGCAGACTTTGTTTGATGGAATAGAAGAATCAAGAGGAGGTTGCATATAAACTTCCTCAGTGAGATCACCATTGAGGAATGCATTCTTGACATCCATCTGATAAAGACTCTAGTGGTGAGCAGCAGCCACTGCAAGTAAGCTGTAAACGGAAGTAAGACGAGCAACATGAGTAAATATTTCTTCATAGTCAATGCCATACTCTTGAGTAAACCCCCGGGCGACGAGGCGAGCTTTGTAACGCCCAATGGAACCGTCAAAATGAGTTTTGATCTTGTAAACCCATTTGCAACTAACAGTACTCTTGCCATAAGGAAGATCGACTATATCCCAGGTATGAGTTTTATCGAAAGCCTGCAGTTCATCAGTCATAGCTTGTTGCCAAAGAGGGTTAGAATAAGCTTCTTGATAAGAAGTAGGTTTATAAGAGGAAAAGACAGTGGAACCAACTATATAATCATGGAGTAGAACAAATGGTTTCCTTACCCGTATAGAATGACGCTTTAGTGGAGGAGGAATCTCAATGGGAAGTGGAGATGGAGGAACCTCCATAGGAGTTGGAGAAGGCGTAGGGCCATCAACAGACGTAGGATCCTTAGGATGGTCAATAAGTGTAGGCGGCTATGGAAGCATGGAGTCAAAATATGCATCAAATGCATTAGAGAACAGGTCTATAGAAAGATCAGCAAAGATTAGTGAGTGGGTGGACTGAGGTAGGTGAAACTTAGAAAGATGTGAGAACATTTTGTGTTCCCAGAAGACCACATAACGAGAAATACGAAGTCGCTTGGAGATAGGATCTCAACAACGATACCCTTTATGTTCTATACCATACCCTAGAAAACAACAAAGACGAGAACGAGGTTCTAGTTTTGTGTGTTCATGAGACAGAAGTAGAACAAAACAAGCAGAACCAAAAACTTTAAGAGTGGTGTAGTCAGGAGGAGAACTATACAAGAGCTCATAAAGAGAAGTTTTAGCTATGACAGGTGTAGGGACACGATTTATGGTGCGAATGGCAATGAGGGCAGCTTCCTTCCAAAACTGTTTAAGACAAGAAGATGAGATGAGAAGAGACCAAGTAGTGTCTAGAATATGACAGAGCTTCCTTTTGGCTCGTCCATTTTGTTGGGACGTGCCTGCACAAGATCCGAAGTATACTTGGCTTGGGTAAGAAAGTTTTTTTTAGTATTGATGATATTATTTGTGAGTGACGCTATGATGATTCAATGAGTGCTATTATTAATGATCTTCAACACTCTTCTTCGCTTAAGAAGCGCTATTATTATGTTGATGGCAATCTTCGCTATAAAGGTCGCATTATGGTTGTTCCATCTTCTCCTTGGTGTTCTAAGTTATTGCATGAATTTCATATAACCCCAACAGGAGGTTATTCTGGGTTCTTACGCACTTACAAACATCTACATCATAATTTTTATTGGCCTAGTATCAAAGATGCAACAAAACATTTTATTGCTCAATGTGATGTCTGTTAACGTAACAAGACAAAAGCTATTTCACCCCCTAGACTTCTTAGCCCCTTGCCAATCCCTGATGATGTGTGGCTTGATTTATCGATGGACTTTATTGAGGGATTGCCATCTTCTCATCAGAAAACTACAGTTTTAGTAGTTGTGGATCGCCTCTCCAAATATGCTCACTTTAGTGCTCTTTCTCATCCTTATTCCGCCACTATTGTTGCTGATGTTTTTGTTAGAGATATTGTTCGTTTACATGGCATACCTCGTACACTTGTCAGTGATAGAGACCCCATCTTTCTTAGAAATTTTTCGGAAGCATTCTTCACTATGTAGGGTACGCAATTATGTCAGAGTTTGGCTTATCATCCTCAATCTAATGGTCAGATCGAGGTTACTAATCGCACTTTAGAGTGCTATCTTCGATGTTTTGCAGGTCAGAAACCTTACGATTGGTCCCGCTGGTTGCCTTGGGCTGAATGGTGGTACAATACCACTTATCATTTTACTATTCAAATGACCCCGTTTGAGGATGTCTACAGCCGCCCTCCACCTTCAATTTCGGCTTATCTTCTTGGTATAACTATTGTTCAGATCGTATTTTGCAACTCATAAATGATTATCTACAATCTGCTCAAGCTCTTATAAAATTCTATGCTGATGCCAATCAAACTGAACGCCATTTTACTGTGAATGATTGGGTTTTCTTGCAACTGCAACCTTATTGCCAGTCTACAGCTGCATCGCAACATTATTCCAAGCTTTTTCCCCATTTTTATGGACGTTTTCGCATTTTTATGGACCTCGTTCGGGAAATCAACTAGCCGTTGGCGAAAGAAATAGCCACGCGCTGAATATGCAGGGCAAGAGTCCACTACTTTCAACTTGTCCATGAGCTATATTTGGGGAGGGATGAAAAATAAGAGAGATTAAAGAATAGAGAGGTGTATGTGGAGAGAAAAGTGAGAAAGGATTTTTGAGAAAAAAACAGAGCTTGAGGGCTGAGTGATGTGAGAAATACATGTGAGAAGGGTGGGAAACATTACCTGCAAGAGTAATGGACTTCCTGCGAACTTGGTTGTCTCCCGTCGATGGAAGGCGTCCAAGTCCATCAAAGTCTCGCCTAATGTTAAGCCAATGCAGCTCTTGCCCTCTTTCAAGCCTTGGGACACTTCAATCTAGCGAATACTAGACCTGCCGAAACCAGGGGCAAGCAAAAAGTGAGCCAACATACACAAACAAAGGGCATGCTATCGAAAACTCTTCCAGAAACGGTCACCGCGGTTATCGGCGTCAGAAAATCGATGAATGAGGTTAGGAATATCCAGCTCTCCGTTATGAACCAAAGATCAGGCATCGTGTAGAGTGAGTCTACACATCCTTCCTAAGGCCTGGACGTGACCAAAACGAGACTGGGATAGGATTTCCTCGTTACGCCAGGATTCTATCAAAACTGGGAATTCTTCAATTATGGGGCATATCTCTTGTCCTCCAAAGCTGAAAACATGTGTATCGGGTTCCAACATCTAGCCGCGGCATGAAGGAACGAAAAACACAATGGGGTACGACTTAGCGGGAATAGTGCATTTATTCCAAAACCCCGAAAATTCACCTTTTCCAAGCCATCTAAAGTTGCAATCCAAATTGAGAGTTGTTCGGCGAGGAACGACTCTATTTATGGCAAAAACAGAGTTGGAATGAAGAAACTACGAAGTCTCAAACTTTTGTAGAAGATAAGGTACTGAGTGGAAGACAGGTGGCAACAATCTACAGACTCCTCGCATCAATGGCCAACCAGCCAGTTAAGGTGGCTGACCAGCCACCTTTAGTAAAGTGGCCGACAGTCACCACTAAGTGGCCGACAACCCCTGTTTATGCCCAGCAGAATTTCTTTGGTCTTCTTGTGTGTTGAGAATGCTGAGAACCTGTGTTTTTGTTCTACTCTTGATGCATTCTGCTGTCCTGTTTTAGTAGTTTTGTTGAGTCACTTTTATGTTGTTTCAATTTGTTTATCGAGTTATTTTGTTGTTGCTTATCGAGTTGTATGTGTTTCGTTTATCGGGTTGTTGTTTTGTTTATCGAGTTGTTGCATTAGTTGTTCATTGAGTTGTTTTACTCTGTTTGTTATGTGTCGGTCGGTTCATTACCTAACTAAGCAATTGTCAAGACAATGTATAACATTCAATTTCCATCAATCCCGTTTTTGTGTAAAATAGTGCAATGCGATGCTCAGAATATAAAATGCAACACGTTTTCATCAAAAAGCTGTTTTTATTCCAATCATGGTTTCTTTTTACAAAAGGGTACAAGTTTTTAAGAAAATAAAATTGTCTAAAGCTGTACAATGTGCTAACACTATTAGCAAAAAGAAACAAAGCAAAAACACATGAATCAGCGCCGGCTAGCTCAAGCTTTAGAGGCACTCTCTGTCCTCTTCCTCGACAGAGTGGACTCTGCAGAGCTATCCCCGTCCGCACCACTGTCTAAACCCGATGCAAAACCAAAACTGGAGTCGTCGTCATCCTCTGCATTAGAGCCTGGCTCAGCCTCATCTCTACTAGCGAAATCTGAGTTAGCATCATCATCTCTGCTCTCGGATGACTCATCATGTTGATCTCCAGCCTCCTCGGTCTCGCTGGTCTCATCGTCATCGTGCATGATGGGCTCTCGACATCTCCGTCGACCGCGTGCCGAAGCGTGTGTCTCTCTCTCTCTCCCTGCTGTTGGAGGGGGCGCTGATGGTCCTGCTTCTGTTGCTGCCAGCCCTGTCAGTAGAGGTGTGACCTCAAAAGGCAGTTTGAATATGTCAGTCACAGTATATGTATCAGATGCAAGTATTGTGTGTGGAATAAGTACATGCAGAAGTCAGATAAATTGGGTGAATGCAATGTGCCAGATGTGATCTATACATGCAGTGTATCAGTACAGTATGGGAAAATGTTCAGTTGAGATGTCAGTTTTAGTATATCAGCAGAAATATGATGACTGAAATGCAAGAAAACTAAAAAATTACTTGAGTACCGTGGGAGCTGAGTGTCGCCTTTCTCCTCAAGATCATGCCCTCGAATGAGGCCAACATCTCGAGTAACCCCTCGACGTACTCTGTGGAGGGCTGCAAATGCAAGTTGAAATGATCAGTGTCTGGAATGAATGAATGTCTGAGTATCTAAGTGAGAATGGAAAAAATGAAAGCTGTAGTACATACCGGAGGTGAATCAGGTGTCTTGACATATCGGTGACCAGGCAACGGAGGCTCTCCGGAGTACCGCCAACTTATCAGCTCGGTCGGAAGCTTTGGCCATCCAAAACTCTGCCTAGCAGGAGGCATCCCTCTAGCCCTGTCCCTCGGTGCTTAGG